ATACCACCCGAGCTACAAAAACAACAATCAACATCGTTGTTTACCAAACTGCCACATATATATATGTGTGTGTATATATGGGACTCACTCCGAGAACTTCATGTATTGGATTTCTAAGTGTTTAGGTGTAGGTGACTTTGCGGGAATTATTATTCTATTAGATTTATATTTATGTTAGATACTGCAATTTCCTTGTGGCTAAGAAATTCCGAATGCTGCGTAGAATGTTTTGGTCATGAGAATAAGTGGAGCATTTGATTCTTTTTCATAATGGATCTAGTCGTTTACAGAGTAAACGAAGCGTGAACTGAAAAGCTAAGAAGCTCTGCACTGCTTTTTCGACCTTCTTAGGTTTCATCGCTAGTGCAAATCTATTGACTGAACTGAGAGTTGAATCCGGGATTACGTAAGCATACTACACACTTGACCACCGTGCAGGTGGTCAGACCGTTTTTCCATATCTATACGCTGTGTAGCATTGCCCATCTCTGTAAGCTTGTTACGGGTATCACGTCATGCTCATCTCAGCACTAACCTACAGGGTTATATTTGGATGGAAGTATATACACGACTGAGTTCGCTATATCGAATCAAATCAGCCAGCTTAGAAATAATTCCGGTCGTGTCACAACTCTGGAGACTAGTGTCGAGATTAGCAAGGTATTATACCGACAAGAAGCTCGCAAATATGGGTTGAAATATGTAGTGTGAGTGCAAAATGGAAACAACGACCTGGTTTGTTGCCCATTGATCAAGTGGATAATGTGCTTGTTTTCTACTTGTTGGTCCTTGGTTTGACCCTCAGTTGGGTCAATGAATTCGCAGTAATGGTGAAACGCAGCCCTGTCGAAACAGATGTACAGTGCTTCCTAGCTTTTCAGTTCACTCCACATTTGCTTCATATGTGATCAAATCGTTTATAACGTTTTTATGTGTTTGAATGGTGGAAAGATGTGGAAATTTGTATTTTCTTTCCGCAGTGGCATTCCAGTTCAGTCTTNCTTTTGTCGATCCGTGTGATAATGAGAATTTGGGGAAGTACCGTTGAGATTTGGTCGCCGAATCGCGGAATAGTTTCACTCATTCGCGTACCGAGGGGTTGACTTTGATGTAGTTAGTAAAAATTCATTCATTTTATCTAGTTTCATGAAATTGTTTTTGTTTTTTTGAAAATAATTTAGGTAATTTTGTAATAGTTTTGCTATTTACATGATATGGTAATTTAAGTGTAGCCGAAAGTGCACCGTACACGCGCGCCAAAATCTCGTAGGTGAAGAAACTAACTTCAATTACAACAGTCGAGCTAGAGCTGTACTTGTGTGTACCGACGAACCTCGACTGGTCTTTATACACAACTGTGCATAGGGGTAGCGGCATTGTCACGACGCGTTTGACCGTTTAATGTTAGTAGGAAACTCGACCTGAACACATTCAAACGTGCGGAGTAATTTTACCCGATCTAAAGGGGAGTCCAAATAAATATTGAATAGTCGGAGAGTGGCATTTTCACTAACGCATAAAACCCACCTAAGTGAACCGAACTTAATTATTCGTGCATGCAAATGACGAATGTGTTTGAGGTGTACCCATACCTACAAGTGAGCCCAATTTTCTTTTGTTGTATAAGTCGCTCTTGAAAGAGGCCCCTAAAAGGTTACATGCTCAAACTTCATTCCTCACGATAAAGTTACTCGACAGTTGCTTTATTGATTTTGTCCTTTTTAATGCTTTTGTTCTGTGTGAAATGCTGCGGTAGGTTTTGGCGTTCGTTGTGCATCAGTGTGTTCTAATTACATATGAACTCTCTTCATGTTTATTTTTGCATCTCTTTCCGGATTTTAGGTGAAGAACGGTATAAGCTTCATCGAAGGTTGCATCAATGGCAACAATACCGTATATGTGCACTGCAAAGCCGGACGGACACGGTCAGCATTCCTGGTCGCCTGTTACTTAATGCACCGCGAAGGTCTAAGCGCAGAAGTAGCCGTTCAACGGTTATTAGATTGCCGGCCATATGTGAAGTTCACGAAATCTCAGTGGGCTGCATTGCGTCATTTTTCAAACGTTTTCGCAGAAAAACAAAATGTAAAAACTTGAGGTAGGTTTGCGTTTGCACCCGTTTCTCATATTACCACTTTTACCAGTTCGCGCTTTCTGATCGTTATTGATTGTTTCCGTAAGTCTTTCAAACGTTTCTGATATAAGCTTTGTACTTTAGGTGCAAACGCCAGCTCATCAAGAGTCTGAAAAATGACCGCGAGAAATGGTGGGTACGAAAGTGTAGAGATATAGAGAAAGCTACGGATATTGGTAATAGTCGCAATGTTTTCCGTCTAATTAGGAACACGGGTCCAAGAAAAATAAGCAAAAGTAACGTAATTAAGACATCCCATGACAGATTGATTCCCGATCAGCAGCACCCTCTTGATCAATGGGCTCAACATTTCGAGGTTCAGTTCAACTGCCTCCATCAAAATCTGAACTACCACCCTCCACCGCCACTGCACCAATTCTGTCAGCTGACACCAGTCCTCCATCTGAAATGGAGGTTACCTGGGAAATAAGCTATATCAAAAGCCATAAAGCCTCCGGCCCAGACAGGCTCTCCCCATCCGCTTTCAAGGATGAAGATCTAGCCTTGGTTTTGATGTTAACAAAACTCCTGGGCTCCGTGTGGAAGAGAGAAAAGGTTCCAGCTGAATGGTGTGAATCGGTGATAATACCGATTTACAAGAAAGGTGACAGATCCCCCTATGAAAACCACAGAGGAGTTAATTTAGTCAACATTGCTACTAAACTTCTCGCTGGTATCATAATCAGTCGATTGTCTGCCACACGTGAACGATGTACGCGTGAGAACGCGGCTGGTTTTAGAAACGGTTCAGGTTGAATCGACCACATCGTCACCGTTCGTCAAATT